TTCTACTTTTCAACTTTTCAAATTCTACTTTTTAGTTTTTTGGATGGGAAATTTTTTTAAGAAAAATACGAGTATACTGAAAATTACAAAATATTCAAGTAGGTACAAAAACCAAATAGTAATATTATAATTTCTGACTTGAACCAGAAAGAGGTAGGAGATTCTGAATTGAAACATTTTTTGGTTAGATGTCGTTACGTACACCGAAATAAAATTTTTCAGAAACTGAAAATTAACAAGTAAAAACGTTTCAGTCGGTATGAACCGATTGAATTATACCCTGCACCTTTCATTGTTGTATAGCAATTACTCAAACCTGTGAAACCATTCTATAGAAACTTCACGGACATGTCTGACCTACAACTGAACACACAACTACCAAGTTTCATGAATCTGACTTTATTATTTTTCCAAATATTTAACATTAGCTTTGAGGTTCGGGTACCTGCCAAGCAATTCCACTAAAACTTCGCTAATATATCTGATCTATAATTGGACACACAACTGCCATGTTTCATGAATCTAACTTTATTACTTTTCCAAATATTTAAAATAAGTTTTTGGACTTGTATGGGAGCCACTCGAACCTGTCAAGCAATTCCAGAAAAACTTCAGAAATATCTTTGACCTATAATTGGACACACAACTGCCAAGTTTCATGAATCTGTCTTTATTATTTTTCCAAATATTTAAAATTAGCTTTTGAAGTTGTATGGCAGGTACCCGAACCTGCCAAGCAATTCCACTAAAACTTCGCAAATATATCTGATCTATAATTGGACACACAACTGCCAAGTTTCATGAATTTGACTTTATTATTTTTCCAAATATTTAAAATTAGCTTTTGGAGTTGTATGGCAGGTACCCGAACCTGCCAAGCAATACCACTAAAACTTCGCTAATATATCTGATCTATAATTGGACACACAACTGCCAAGTTTCAAGAATCTAACCTTATTACTTTTCCAAATATTTAAAATAAGCTTTTGGACTTGTATGGGAGCCACTCGAACCTGTCAAGCAATTCCACCAAAACTTCAGAAATATCTTTGACCTATAATTGGACACATAACTGCCAAGTTTCATGAATCTGACTTTATTATTTTTCCAAATATTTAAAATAAGCTTTTGGACTTGTATGGGAGCTGCGCGAACCTGTCAAGCAATTCCACCAAAACTTCAGAAATATCTTTGACCTATAATTGGACACACGACTGCCAAGTTTCATGAATCTGACTTTATTATTTTGCCGAATATAAAAAATTTGCTTTTGGAGTTGTATGGCAGCCACCCGAACCGGTGCAGCTATCTCATTAAAATTTTAAGAGCATATGCAGAATATAATTGGACACATGTATACAAAATTCTATATTTGTACCTTTATTAGTTTTTGAAATAGTTAAAATAAACTCTTTGAGTTGTATGGCAGCTCCCCGAACCCGTTGTCCGAATTAGTCCAATAACAATAGGGTTCGTCCTTGGCACAAAAGAAACAACTTGTGAAAGTTTGGTGTCGATTGCATTATTCGTTTTTGAGTTATCGTGTGATCGGACGGACGGACGGACGGACGGACGGACAGACATGTCTAAATCAACGCAGAATTTTACGCTGAGCAAGAATATATATATATGTCCATACCGCAGGTGACTCCTTCAAGTAGTTACAAACTCCATACCAAAGTTAATATACCCTTCACGAAGTGCAGGGTATAAAAAAGGACTTTCTTTCTTTTAGGTATAAAATAAGCATAAAAATAATAAAAAAACAACATAATAAAAAAAAAATAAAAATTTCTTGCCTGGGTATGTAAGAATCAAAATTTCTTAAGAAAATATATGAAAATGAATATTGGAGATTTGAATGTGGAAGTTTCACTTGAGAAAACTCTCTGCTCTACTTCTCGGATAACATTTTGAATAATTTAACTCATACGCACTGCGTTTTATTAATTAAACTAATAATTAGTTTGGCCAATTAAATTTGAATATACTGCATAAAAATTCTAATATTAAAAAAAAAGGCTAGGTAAATAATTGTATTCGAAAATAATTTCAAATTAATTTTATCAAATTGAATTGCAGTGTAAGCTTGTTATACGAATTCTGAATTAAGTGTAAAATTTAAATCGCTGGAATTGTAGCATTTAGGTCGGAATTTAGAACAATCATGATTAATAAAAAATTTTTAAACACAATTACCCATTTTGCAATGCAACAAAATATGTACATATGTATGGATAACACTAAAAAATTTAAAAATAAATTATCTAAATGTAGATGTATATTGAATTTCCAACATACATATATATTTAACTTGTTGCATAAAGAGATTTTAATTAAAATTAATAATTTAAATTAAAACAAGTAAAAACGTTTCAGTCGGTATAAACCGATTGAATTATACCCTGCACCTTTCGTTATTGTGTAGCAATTACTTGAACCTCTAAAATCATTCTATAGAAACTTCACGGACATGTCTGACCTATAATTGGACATCCGACTGCCAAGTTTCATGAATCTGACCTTATAATTTTTCCAAATATTTAAAATTAGCTTTTGGAGTTGTATGCTAAGTACCTGAACCTGCCAAGCAATTTCACTAAAACTTCACAAATATGTCTGATCTATTATCGGGCACACAACTGCCAAGTTTCATGAATCTGACTTTATTATTTTTCCAAATATGTAAAATAAGCTTTTGGAGTTTTATGGGAAGTACCTGAACCTGTCAGGCAATTCCATCAAAACTTCACAAATATATCTGATCTATAATCGGACACACAACTGCCAAGTTTCATGAATCTGACTTTATTATTTTTCCAAATATTAAGAATAAGCTTTTAGACTTGCATGGGAGCTACTCGAACCTGTCAAGCAATCGCACCAAAACTTTAGAAATATGTCGGACCTATAATTGGACACACGACTGCCAAGCCTCATGAATTTGCCTTTATTATTTTTCCAAATATTTAAAATAAGCTTTAAGACTTGTATGGGAGCTACTCGAACCTTTCAAGCAATTCCACCAAAACTTCAGAAATATATTTGACTTATACTTGGACACATGACTGCCAAGTTTCATGAATCTGACTTTATTATTTTTCCAAATATTAAGAATAAGCTTTTAGACTTGCATGGGAGCTACTCGAACCTGTCAATCAATCGCACCACAACTTTAGAAATTTGTCGGACCTATAATTGGACACATGATTGCCAAGTTTCATCAATCTGACTTTATTATTTTTCCAAATATTTAAAATTAGCTTCTGGAGTTGTATGGCAGGTACCCGAACCTGTCAAGCGATTCCTCTAAAACTTCAGAAATATATTTGACCTATAATTGGATACATGACTGCCAAATTTAATGAATCTGACTTTATTATTTTGCCGAATATGAAAAATTTGCTGTTGAAGTTGTATAGCAGCCACCCGAACCGGTGCAGCTATCCCATTATAATTTTCAGAGCATGTGTAGAATATAATTGGACACATGTATACAAAATTTTATATTTATACCTTTATTAGTTTTTGAAATATTTAAAATAAACTCTTTGAGTTGTATGGCAGCTACCCGAACCCGTTGTCCGAATTAGTCCAATAACAATAGGGCTCGTCCTTGGCACAAAAGAAAAAACTAGTGAAAGTTTGGTGTCGATTGCATTTTTCGTTTTTGAGTTATCGTGCGATCGGACGGACGGACGGACGGACGGACGGACGGACGGACGGACGGACGGACGGACGGACGGACAGACGGACATGTCTAAATCGACTCAGAATTTTACGCTGAGCAAGAATATATATATATGTCCATACCGCAGATGACTCCTTCAAGTAGTTACAAACTCCATACCAAAGTTAATATACCCTTCACGAAGTGCAGGGTATAAAAAGAAAATATTTTAAAAAACGTTATTATTTTTTTAATTATTTCACTATTTTAGATCAATATTATTTGAAATAATTTTTTTTTTGATATTTAAAAATAATTGCTTTGTTTTCATATTTATTTTATTTTACTGAAATTAAGAAAATTTCATATATAACTAAATTGTGTTTTGGTGCTTTTTATTTTATCTTTTGGCGACGCTCACAAATTATTATTTTTCCAGTGAATATAATAATTTATTCAAATATAAATTTTCACTACACATAAATCTCTAATTATGCCAATTAATGTCACTAAGATTATATATAACGTATTTTACTGCTTTAAAAACGTTTGTTGAACATTATGAACAAATATTTTTCTTTAGAATAAAATCTTCAATATATTTTAAAAGCAATAAAAATCAATTGCAAAAATTAGTTTTCTTAAAGTTAAATAAAGTTATTTTTAGTCTTAAAAATTAAAAAAAATTATGAAAAGTTATAAATTTGATAATAATGATAATCAAAAGTTATATATTGTTGTCATTATATATGGTCATAAAATATATGTATTGTAAAAATACTATTATTTTAATGATTTTAATGTTACATAATATTTTTCATTTTACTTGTTGTTAGATGTAGGAACTTCGTATCTTGTTAATATTGGATTATGAAATTTCCAAAATTACACAGTACATTCAATGTGGAAAATATTTTATCAAGCTATAATAATAGCTTGATAGAATATAAATATTTCTGTGTACAATCATACATACGTACGTATCAAATGTTTTAACCGTATTTTATAATTAATATAATAAAAAAAAATGTTTAATAATTTCAAAACAAATTTAAAAAAGGAGACAACTTTAAATATCAAAAAAAAACTTCAATTGGAACATAGCTAAATTGAATATATAAGACAGAGTTTTCTTACTTTTGTAAAAAATAATTTAAACTCGAGGACCCCATAAAATTTTTAAAAGCTCATTAAATTTAAATTTTTGCTAGAAGATTTTACCAACATATTTTTTTTTAATTTCTTCAGAAGCAAAGTTTGATTTCAATATATAATTTATGTATATTTAGTAAAAAAAACAAGAGAAGAATACACTTAACTACACGGTTATAATATAAAAATCAATATTCAAATATTACATACTGTAAAATATACTTAGGTATTTGAAAAATAAGTAAATAATAAAAAAATTAAACACAATCTCCTTCAATCTCTTCATGCGCTTCAGTATCGAATTCATCTTCAGCAGTTGCCTCTTGATATTGTTGATATTCAGAAATTAAATCATTCATATTACTTTCAGCTTCTGTAAACTCCATTTCATCCATACCTTCACCGGTATACCAATGTAAGAAAGCTTTGCGGCGGAACATAGCTGAAAACTGTTCCGATATACGTTTGAACAATTCTTGTATAGCAGTCGTATTGCCAATGAATGTAGATGACATTTTTAAACCTTTTGGTGGTATATCGCAAACTGCTGTTTTGACATTGTTAGGTATCCACTCAACGAAATAACTACTGTTTTTATTTTGAACAGCTAACATTTGTTCATCGACTTCTTTCATTGACATACGTCCACGGAAAATAGCTGCAACAGTTAAATAACGTCCATGTCTTGGATTGCATGCTGCCATCATATTTTTAGCATCAAACATTTGTTGGGTTAGCTCTGGTACTGTTAACGCCCTATATTGCTGTGAACCTCTTGATGTTAACGGAGCAAACCCAGGCATAAAGAAATGTAATCGAGGGAACGGTACCATATTGACAGCTAATTTTCTCAAGTCAGCATTTAATTGACCTGGGAATCTTAAACATGTTGTTACACCAGACATGGTTAACGATACCAAATGATTCAAATCGCCATAACTTGGATTCGGCAATTTTAATGTTCTAAAGCAAATGTCATATAAAGCCTCATTATCAATACAATATGTTTCATCAGTGTTTTCAACCAATTGATGTATTGATAATGTTGCATTATACGGTTCAACAACAGTGTCCGAAACCTTAGGTGAGGGTACAACTGAATATGTATTTATAATACGATCAGGATATTCTTCATAAATTTTTGATATTAATAAGGTTCCCATACCAGAACCAGTACCACCACCAAGTGAATGAGTTAACTGAAAGCCCTGAAATAAAAATAAAATAAAGGTTTATTAGAGAATTTAGTCAAAAATTATTAAAATTTACATAATGCACAACTTTAAATAACAGTATGTTCACGATTTTAAGAATTTTAATATCTGTTACTCGGTTATTTGTATTTAAAAAAATTGAAATGCTAGTTAGGAGAATAATACGCAAAATACATAGGTAATATACCTGAAGGCAATCACAATTTTCACATTCTTTGCGTACAACTTCTAATACTGCATCAACTAATTCAGCACCTTCAGTGTAATGACCTTTTGCCCAATTATTACCAGCTCCAGATTGTCCAAATACAAAATTATCAGGACGAAAAAGTTTGCCATAAACTCCAGAACGAACAGCTTCCATAGTACCAGGTTCCAAGTCCAAGAGAATTGAACGTGGCACATATTTGCCACCTGATAAACGTGTTACAGCTACACAGCAAAAGTAAACAAAGAAACTTGTTCAACTCATAATTTAATAATTAATTAAATTTAAAATCATTTTATTCGCTGAAAAATTCCAAATGGAGTTAGTACTTATTAGTTTAATTTTGCGTCTTTAGTGTCTATTTTAAAAAATGTAATCATTTTTTCAATAATATATATTTTTTTAATAGAAACAAATCAAACAAATCTGTCAAACAAAACGTTTATATGATATAAATTATAACATAGTTTAAATTATAATTATACATCTATACTAGAATTCGGATAAAATTCCTAAAAATTTTGTGCTAAAATGTTAGCATCATGCATCTAACATAATATACTATGAATAAATGTAAAAATATTGAAAATAAAAGTTCTGAGAATTGCATAAACATTGCATTCAAAAAAGTTTCTTTTAACGTATCTGAAACTAAGTATGAAAGAAATAAAAGTGAAATAATAGATTAACAGAATTTTCATGAACTTAAATTATATATATACTAACTTAATTTATTTCAATTTAACAAAAAAAATAATATAAAAAAAATCAAATCAATACCCTTCCTGAGCTTCTTTTTATAACTTATATGTAACATATATGCACTCATTTATGTTGTACCAGAAATTAGTATCTAGGCGATTATGAATTGAAGTATTTTTGAGTTAGATGTTACTACGTACACGTTTTTCAGAAATTAAAAATTAATAAAGTTAGGTCAAACCAATGGTTTGTATCGTAGCACTTTTCCCTTCTACAAGTTAAAATTCTGCTTTTAAATACAGTCTATGTATATTTATCACACTATTAAAATTATTTTCATTCATATACAAAACTATTTCTAGGATTGCATATATTTAGGACGATGCATACATGCAGTCTTTGAAATAAAGCAAAAATTAATAAAAAGTGGGGTTAACATAATGCTCGATTTATAGGGTTAATTGTGTGAGTTAAGAAAAATTATTATATTTTTTAATGTCACGGAATTTACCGTTAGCTTTTTGCGTTTATAGAAATTTGAAAAGCTTGCGGTTTCGAAAATATAAGGTGTCAAAAATTCAAATTTTACAAATTTTAAGATGCGATAACTTGAGAGGGGGTAGAGACGGAAAAAAATTTTTTTCTAACAAAATGAACTATTTATTAATGTCTAAAAGCCTCTAAAATTTAAAGCTTCTACAGGCTGGGGTCTAGAAGAAAATCGACATCAAAAATTTGGAAAAAAGGACCTTAGATAACGGTAAATTTCAACGGCCATTTTGTTTTTCTAAAGTTTAACTATAGTATACCGCGCTAAGGGAAGCAAGCCACTGTCTTTCTGCGTTTGAAAAATTTCTAAAATGCTTATGGTTTCATTGCAACAAATAGTTAAAAAAGGCCATTTTGAGGGTTTTGGGGGGGTATAACTTTTAGAGGTAAGGAAGAGATAGCTAAAATTTTTCTTCTGCGAAGTAAGTTTCTAGTAAAGATCCATTTACATATATACATATTATGAAATTTCAACTTTCTTTTTTCAGGGTTTAGAAGTTTTGAAACTATAAGGACTTATTTTAAAATTTTTTCAAGAGTCTTAAAAAAATGAAAGGCTAAATAATCAACATCATTAACATGCAGTCCACCAAGATCTTTTCTAAAATTATTTATATATTTTTTAAAATCCTCAAAATGCTAAATTAAATTTTTTAGCACTTTTCTAAAAATTTTATAAAAAAAAGTGCTTATTACTTTCACTCTGTCCGTCCGTGGACATGTTTACAAAACTTCTACACCCTTGAAGATCGAAAGCTGAAATTTAATCGGTACTAGAAACTTACTTCCGTAGAAGAAAACTTTCACTATATATATCAAAAACAAAAATATTTATTTACTAAAAAAAAAATGCTCAAAAACAAATGCATGTGCTATTTAGTTGACAAAAGCTGTATATATATTCCTGCTCAGCGTAAAATTCTGCGTTGATATAGACATGTCCGTCCATACAACTGCAATACATAGCCGCCATACAACTTAAAGAGGTTTTTTCAAATATTTTAAGCCATACAACTCTGAAAGTTAATTTTAAATATTTGAAAAAATAACAAAGCTATATTTATGAAACCCGGCAAACCTGTGTCCAATTTCAGGTCAGATATAGCCCTAAAGATTTGGCGGAATGACATGACAGGTTCGGGTAACTGCCATACAACTCCAAAAGAAAATTTTAAATATTCGAAGAAATATTTAGGCCAGATTCATAAAATTCAGCAGCCGCGTGTCCGATTTCAGGTTGGATATATTTCTGAAGTTTTGGTTGAATTACTTAACAGGTTTGGGTACCTGCCATACAACTCCAAAAGCTAACTTTAAAATATATTTGGAAAAATAATAAAGTGAGATTCATGAAACTCGGCTGTCGTATGTCAAATTATAGGTCAGACGTATCTGTGAAGTTTCGATAGAATGGTTTTACAGGTTTGGGTAATTGCTACACAACAATGAAAGGTGCAGGGTATAAACTTCGTTTCTTTAAATTGAAAAATTTTACCTGTGATACGGAGACTTAGAATAAGTTATTTCTTTTTTGCAAGCCTTCTAGATTTTCTCACCGTTTCCGCAAAGTATGTTGTTTTTGTGTTCATGGAGCTCGTGTTAGTTTTGTTTTAATGTTTTTAAGCATAAACGAAATTAGTGCACTATGTATTTCTAGTATAATGCGAATTGTACTTGTTCCAACTCCTCCTAAAAACCTCACAAGTTATTTAAATTAAATGCGCATTATTTTTTGTTTCGATTTTTAATAGAGCATGGTATGTAATATTATGATATTCGATTGGTTTAATTTTATGATATTCGATTTAGATTGGATTCGATGTATTTTTGAATTACATATGCATCTGGATCCATTATAGATATATATATATATATATATATATATATATATATATATATATATATATATAGCTACTTCTAAGGGCATTAGATAGGGATTTGCAAATAGGGTCCCAGAAAAAGCAAGAACCTCACTCGCCTTTCTCCTTCACTCCCCCCAAGATACTTTGTGATCGCTTTTTACAAAATGGTACTATATCATATAGGGGTAGTTTGTGTTTACGTTTGATAATATAAATATTGTATATAATTTAGTTTCTGGAAGTGTGAATTATAAAAAGAAGTGAAAATTTTATTCAGAAAAAGAAGTGAAATTTTTAAAGGTAATAAATTCTACATAGTCTTATAATAAGTATTTACGTACGCATTTACTTATGTATTCATTTTGCTATTTGCTGCAAAACGTTAGTGCACTTTAAATTTCTTATCAATATAATTTTAAGACGAAATTTAATAAGAAAATGTTGCAAAAATTTTATTGCATTAAACTTTTACAAATAGGGTATTGTCAAAAAAACATTTAGGGCCCAAGCCTCGCTGATATTGATTTTTAAGGGTAAACCTTTTTTATTTCCATTTTAAATAAGAAAAAAAAATAAAATTATCATTAAGAAAGAAAAAGTTTATCTGACAATTCACATTTTTCAGGGTTCAATCCTGAGACCTTTTGCACAGAAGTCGTATACTATATGCATTACCCTAAATATTATTAATATTACGTAATTATAAATTCAGGCATTTTATTCGTATGTGTTATGGAATCCAAATACATATGTATGTACATAAATTCTTCTTAGAAACGATTTAATTTATGCGTATACAGTAACTGCTAATTTAAAGTACTTACTGTCAACGGTAATTAAAGATTTTAGCAAACATATCTCAAAGCGAAGTTCTAAAATAAATTACTCAAAAGTTATTAGATCTTGAAAGGATAAGTTTTTTAATTATGTACTTTTTTGTAATTATTTTTAATAGCTTTTCTTATTTTAAATTTTGATATTATTTATGAGTAAAAAAACATTTCTATAAGTATACTAGTCGTGTGTGCTTGCATTGCAAGCCTTGCAAGTATGATGCCTGTAGTTTTGAAATTGTCTTCCATTCTGTGGCTGAGATATTTTAAGTTTACTTTATTTCTTCAAAAACACACCCATAATATACATATAGATATGTTTTTTCCTGATAAATAATAAGATAAAACTTAAAACTTAAAATAAAAAAGTTCTGAGAAATAATTACCCAAAAATACATAATTAAACAAATAATTAGTTCCTTTGAAATCTAATACCTTTTCAGTAATTTATTTTAAAACTTCACTTTGAGTTATGTCGCATAAAATCGTAAAATACCTTCTACAATAAACACTTTTAGCCATAAATTATTGTTAATTATAAACTACAATTCATGCACGTATGTATTTGGAGTTTATAATACATGCGAATAAAACGCGTGACTGTAGAATGGGTTAACACCAATACTAACGTATATAGGGTAATACGTATTGCATACGATTTCTATGCGAAAAGTCTCAGGTTCGAACCCTGCAAAATGCGATTTGCCAGATCAACTTTTTTTATTGATAATTTTATTTTTTTTTAAAATAAAATTAAAAAACCTTCACCCTTACCAAATCAATATCAGCGAGTTTCCGTTCTAAAAATTTTACCCTACTTGTAAAAAGTTTAATGCAATAGAATAACATTTTCTTATAAAATTTTACCCTAAAAATATATTGTCAAGGAGTTTAATGTAAACTTATGTTTTGCTTTCTAATACATGTTGCAACAGATCCCGAAAAGAATGCACAACTAAATTCATATGTACACACTTATTATAAAACAATGTAGATTTTATTAAAACAATTTTCTTAAGAAAGTTTTCATTTTTTGTTATAACTCACACTTCCAAAAATGAATTTATATGCAATATTAATACTTCCAAAAGTAAGTAAAAAATTACCCCTACAGGATGTAAAACCATTTTGTAAAAAACGGTTACAAAACATCTTGGGAGGGGGTGAAGGGGGAGGGCGGGTGGAATCCTTGCTTTTTCTGGGACCCTAGAGGCAAAATTCTACCTAATGCCTTTTGTCCCATGTCTCTAGCCCTTCTAGAAGTACCCGTACTTTTTA